CTTCTTCCATTCTTTTGCGTGAGCACTTCTACTATGCTATATAGTATTGGTACTTTAATGTGCAATTTTAGGTTGTACCATAACAATAAATGTATAAGTTTAGGGTGTACTATAAATGAATTTGTATCATTATGTTATGGTATAACTTTACAACTTGAAGTTGTACCATCACATAAAGGTACAAGTTCAAGTTATACCATAAAAGAATTTACACAAAAAGTATAGGTACAATTTGAAGTTGTACCATAACGTTAAAGGTATAATTTCAAGTTGTACCATAAATACAAAAATCTATAGCACCAATGTTATATAACATTGTAAAATTCCTCTCTTTTGCGTATTCCACTCATTTTAGGTTGCTTCTTTATTATTTATTTTTTTACATTGTCCATGCATGGTAATTACGTGATGAAAATATCTACCATGTTTGAACTTTGGAGTCAACCGCCAATGAAAAAAATCATTTTCATTTTAATATTAGATTTCCATCTTTTGTGGGCTTTAATAATTGTGCAATTGTTAAATACTTGTTTTATTCCTTCAATATCTACTTTAATTTTATCAATATCTGCACATTTTGAGCTATGAAAATGATAAAAATTAGCTGCAAAATAATTTTCCTAATCAAACCAATTGAAATATTTAATTTTTGGCCCCTCATCAAATTCCTGGCTTTGCTCCTGATCAATGCCGTACTGATTTCCACTGGGCGGGTCGAGCAATTGAGTTGAGGATTAATGGTCCGATCAATTTAGTCTAATTTAGCCCGGTTAGATTAAAAAACAAATATATCTTTCATACATTTATAAATTATATCAAATCTCGTGTGATATATGGGTAATAACATATAATGTTACACTAAAATAATAGTTTGTACTTAAATCCAACATATAGTGAAAATTCAAACATGCTCATATAATATCAATATTCAAGTGTCAAACTTAGAATTCCAAATATAGGGTAAGGAGACGGAAAAACCGAAAAAGATGTACAATTTGCAAACCAAAGAGAAAACGAAGTCGTGTAACCTCCAACTCGAAAACTTTACTACAGATCGACCCACAAAAATGGGGCGCTCGTTTTCCTCATCAAATTATGTTTAATCCGAATCAACCCACTCGCGGTTAAGAGCTGGTACGAATACGATGCCGCTTCCAACATAACGTGTACCGGTGTCTTGGGGTTGTTTGATCCGTTTATCTATGCTGAGTCGCTGATTTTGGACGGAAAGGATAGAATCATAGATGTAGGAGTTGGGGGAAATGGGAATATGTGCCAAAAAAGGTTGGTGAATTTGGGTTTGGTTTGGGCGTGCGCTGAGAAGAAAAGAAACGGAAAGAAAAGGAATAAGGGAGCGGGTCCCGAGCTCCGACCCGAGTCTAGACTCTAGTTTTTTTTTTTTTTGACAAGAGGAGAACTTGTATTGCAATAATGTCAAGATTACAGGGGTTGAGAACCACAATGAAAGCAGAAAACAGAGCAACAATGGAGTCAAATGTGAAAGCAATCTAAATCAAAAGAGAAGGCCAGAAACAGAACAGGAAGTAGATTGAACCCAACAAAAGAATCTCCACAAAAGGATGCTAACATTGAGAACCCAGAACCCCTTGCTTCCACAACATTCAGCACAACACAAGCAAGGTTCCAGCTCGCCCGAAACCAGACAGGCCCATGGCTATTGAACATTGCAACGCCATAAGCCGCCACCTGGGGATCGTTCAGAGACGACCCATCACAGTGAATCTCATGGAAGGGATTACTCAGCGGTGGGCAGGCTGAAACCGGGATGCTCTGAGCTGAAAAGGCCGAGGAAGCCGGAGGCACGGATGACCAGGAACCGGGAAAAATGAAGAATCAACTTCATCTCCAGGAAGCCAGAGAATCAAAGCCAACGACACCGAAAATGACACCACACCCCACTTCAGTCGGCAGCAAGTCTTCAAGAAAACCAGTGGAAGAAGGAAGGGAGGAACAGTGAATCTGCTCACCAAAAGAGATGAGCACACCAACAAGGAGCAGAACCCCCAACAGTAAAACACCATTAGAAGCACTCACAAGTTGCAACTTTCAGATCCAAGGAGCAAAGCCAAACCAGATCTAGAAACTAAAAAGAACACTGTGGATAAAACCACTTGGAGAGTGACCATGAAAGTCCGGAAAGAGCCACCATGGGCTGGAGAAAAATGCAGGGCAAGCCAAACATAAAAAAAGAACAGTAAAAATAAAACATTGGGCCACCGCCGGTCAGCAGAGGAACACCGGCGGCAGCCCTGAGCAGTGAAAAGGCGCTGGCCTTTAGAGAGAAGGGAGAGCAAACGGATTTAAAAAAAGTAAGAGAGAGAGAGCGTTTTTTTGAGTTACCAGTCTAGACTCTAGTGGATGCTTTCTTTTGTTTGTTTGTTTGTTTGGTGGTGGCCGCGGGAGTCCCGACTCCAACTCCACTTGTGAATTCTGATCATTTAGTTCTATTTTGGCCTTTTTGGTACATCTGAAAGACAAAAAGACATTTTTATTTCTTTCTTTCGGCGGTGCACATCAAAGAACCACAGTACCACACACAATAATCTAAAGAGATCCTCTTTGAAAAATGTTTAATTCTAAATTTTCAATCTTCTAAGTGAATTTAAGAAGGATAATTCTACGAAATAAAAAAAAAATTAAGAAGGATATTCTTATCCTTTTAATTAATAGATACCCAAACAAAATTCTTAATTATGGTGAAAAAAGGTTTCGTTGGAAACCCCTTTTTTGTGAGAAATATGTTATCATACGAGTTTGAAATTGGAAATCCTCTTTTAAAATCAGTTATTATATTATTGACTAATTCTTTTGTTATAAGGTTGTGCGTGTTTATATATGGTTTATTTGTTTAATTTTTTCTTATTATAAGATTGAGTGTTTGAGACAAAATTATGTGACTTTTCCAAGGTTCTAAAAGGCGCTAAGCGTAAGGCAGGCGCTCGGTTCCTGACTTGCGCCTTGCCTGATTAGGCGCGCCTAGGCGTTCAGAGTATAAATGGAAAAATTTCTCAAATATTTCATGTTTTCTGGAATAATTGATATAATCCAAGTGCATATAAAATTAGCAATGCCTAGTTCTTAACAGTAAACACTTAACAAAACAAATAACAAGCAAATAGTGACCACTTCCTAGAATCACAAGTTCATAAAATGTCGAAGTACTAAACAATAATCAATAAGTTCATAGGAAAATGTTCATTCTTCAATCTTCATCGTCCAAGTAGGTCCGTCCAGCCACCACTTCATCTTCATCATCCTCAAAAGCAATCTCCTCACCATCCTCCTCCTCTTCCTCCTCTTCAGACTCTAATTCTTCATCATGGAGCTCTCTCACTCGTGCACTCCTGCGAAGCTCACTCTGTTCACCCGCCATTGCATCTGTAACAGTACTCGAGGGTGCACAATATGATTCCTCATCCTCATCTACGAATACATACATAGCATGGTCAAACCCTTCCGGTGTTTCTGATTTTCTAGGGCAAGAGGCAATTTTCCGATTTTCTAGGACAAAACGAAGAGTATTGGGTTTAACCGCCTAAGCTCGCCCAGGAACGCCCAGGCACGCCTTCTCTCCACTAGGCGCAAACTAGGCGCTATTCCTACCTACTAAGCGCTACCAGCGTCTTTTACAACACCTATGGCCAAGTCAAGGCGATCCTCCACCGCCTAGCGCCTAATTGAGCCTAGGCGTGCGCCTAGGCACGCCTTCTTGAACCCTGGACTTTTCTAATTGAATAATTCTTGTTTTTTCTATTACCCATAACCTTGAAGTTGGAAATCCTCTTTTAAAATCAGTTATTATATTATTGACTAATTCTTTTGTTATAAGGTTGTGCATGTTTATATATGGTTTATTTTTTAATTTTTTTTTATTATAAGATTGAGTGTTTGAGACAAAATTATGTGACTTTTCTAATTGAATAATTCTTGTTTTTTCTATTACCGATAAGCTCAGCCCGACGTGCCACTTTGTGACAGTATGGCCTAATAAATCTGGGGTCACCTGCAATCAATTCGACACCAACGGGGCTTTGCCCCAAGTAGCTTTATACCTTTGGAACACCAACGGACCTCACTTGGATTCGAACCTGGTATCTGCAACTCCCAAATTTTCACTGTCGCGTCACTTTACCGTTAGGCTATCTTACCTTTGGTATAATTCTTCATTACTTCACTAGACAATTCGTTTGTAAAAAAAAAAAAAACTAGACAAATCAAATACTTTCAATTATAACTTTGGAGTTGAGGTTTTCCATAAAACATATAAAAATAGAAATAAAAATAAAAATAAAAATTCATGTTATTTAGAATTGATAATGTTGTGGAGGTTTAAGAATGTAATTATCAAATATTTTTAAATTAATTATTAGTATATTCTTCAATTCTTCTTTTAGGTATTTGTTTTCTCTTAACAAAGCATGCAATGTCAAGATTAAGTCGTTTTTTTGGTTAAATTTGTGACAGAATATATTAAATTTTTTCTGGACCCACCAACAATCAATCAAAATGAGTGATTATCAATCTCTACCAAAAGGTGAGATTGTGACCAAAAATTGTCTACTCTCTATTTTTTCATTTATAGCAAAGCACAATATAAACCTCCAAACAATGTATTTTCCAAATTCATACATTTCATCAATAAATCAAATTATAATACACAAATTGATTTAATACTTCAATTTAGAGAATCTCAACTTCCAAACAACCCCAAATAAACTAAATCTTTAACAAAAATTCAACTAAACAAACAATATTATCTTTCGAATACAAAATGCAATAAATCCATCATAAATCTAAAAAAAATTCAAAACTCAAAACCTTCATTTTTAAACCAATGAGCAAAGGAGGCATCTTTCTCGTCTTCCATCTTTTGCTTCTCAAACATCATCAACAGATTCCTTCCCTGTTCCTCGATTCTTAATTGTATCTTTCGTTAAATCTGTCAAGCGTTTCAACAAAATAAGAGAAGATGATCACATGCACAGAAAACAGAATCGAGATTATTGATGTCTTTTCTCCACTAATTACCTCGAGCTGTTGTTGTAATTGCTTATGAGCTTCTATTTGTAGTCTTGAAGCTTCAGTTATCTCTATGATCATCCTGTGTTTGTTTTACACTCAAATAAAAACATTACAAGAATAACAAAGAAGGATTCAACTGGAGGTGACAACTATACAATCGAAGGGGGAAAAAAATCTAGACTCTCGATTGATTGAGTAGAGAAATCACCTGAAACTCAGTGCACAAGGGAAAGAGAGACGGAAAATATATTTTTTCTATCTGTTGAATTGGATGCAGAGTGAGGCGGCGGTGGGTTTTCTTTTTAAAGGCCGCAGGCGAAGAAATTAATTGGGTCGGAGAGATGGATTGAGATACGGCGGGGGAGGAAGAAGGAAGGGAGGACTCTATTTCTGGGTTCAAGATAGGGTGCATAACCCAATTTCTGGGTTCAAGATAGGGTGCATAACTATGGGTTATGCACCCATCAATAACCAAATCTGGACCCTTCATTTAGAAAATTCAGATCTAAGGATGGAGAATTAAAGACTATTTTTATTTTCACTAGCCTTCTTAATTGACTCATATCTTTTTCGTTTTAACTCGGATTTTAATTTTTTTTTTGCACAGATAGAACGAGTTCAGCGTGCTCTACAAAATGAGATCAATTTTCAATATTTTTTTAGGAAAAAAAATTCTGGCCTCTCGGTACCAACTGCATACCATATGGTATCTTCTTCGTTTCTAATTCGTTTTTGAAAACGTTTGCACAGCAAGGATGAGTTCATCATGATCTACTGGATCTACAAATTTCTGGGTGAACAAATTACAGGACAAAAAAATACCACACAATACCATACAATACCACCCTGGTACGGGGTGGTATTGTATGGTATCTTCTTCGTTTTTAATTCGTTTTTGAAAACGTTTGCACAGAAGGGACGAGTTCATCATGATCTATTGGATCTACAAATTTCTGGGTGAACAAATTACTGACCAAAAAATACCACACAATACCACCCTGGTACGGGGTGGTATTGTGTGGTATACAATGTTAAAAGTCGTAAATTACAATTAATATACTTCTACTATCATGTATTCAACCATCATACAGTATTGGTTTGTTCATACCACCATGGTACGTTTTTCAAAACATAGGTATGCTTTTATTTCAATACCAGTCAATACCATATGGTATAGGCTGGTAAAAAATGGCTCAATTTTTTTTGTTCGAAAAATATATTAAAGTGGATATCATTTTGAAGAGCACGATTAATCTGATCTAACTGTGCAAAAAAAATTAAATTTCGACTTAAAATGAGCGAGAAATCGTCCGCCAAAGATTAAAGAGGGAAAAATAAAAGGCTTTCCATGAGAGAGAGGATGATGATGTCATGCTGATGTGGACGGATTACTCATGGTTACTCACCATAAGGTTACTGACCTGATCCATTCCCCTATTTCTGTGCGCGGTGGCTCTTTTTCATTATGGAAAAAAAGCCAAAAAAGGTTTATTTTTCTCGTCGTCCTATTTGTTTAAAATATTTGTATTTTTTTTTTATTTAAGCAATTATGGAATAATAAGTTAGGGGGTTGTACCGTAAAATATAAGGGTACGGTATTAAGTGATGACAATTTGAACCTGACTCGTGATTATTACCTGGTCTGATTCATGATGGTGCGGGTATTATCCGACTTGTAGTAGCGTGAGGCGAGGTATGAGTATCCACTTCCGATCCGAGTACCCGACCTGTAATGCTCCGCCCTGTTCTTGGCACATTTTATCTCAATTTCTTACAATGTTTATTCATATTTCGTCTATTTTGACTTTTCTTCAACTAGTCAGACTCGATCTCTCAACTAGTTTGACTCAATTATCTCAATTTCTTACCATATGTATTCCTATTTCTTCTACTTTGATCTTTCAATTAGTAAGACTTAATTAACCATTATATTATCATTATTTTTCATTCATAAAGTATTTTACTATTCGTTTATTGTAAAAAAATAAAATAATGCATGTATTTTTCTCAAATAACATGTAAGAATGGTTCGACCTACTCCGTTGCTTGGTTGTTGGATCATACACACCATATAAGCAACCAGTCATTTTCTCATAAAGAAAGATTGCCCCGCCTCCATTTCTCTTCTCTTTAAGAACTGAACTGAGTTAGTAGTTACACCAGCAAGCATCGGATAGTCAGAAGGTTGATTCCACCGATTGGACATAAGTAGTTGACATCTTCGGACCAAGTGTTTCAGAATAAGAAAATCTGTACAAGAATGCCATATCAAACTAGACCAACTACTTTCAAACGAAGCAGCAGTCCTACGTTTATACAATTTATACATCACCATCAGTCACAGACCATCCTAGATTAGAGATGGCAGAAGAATCATAAAGTCAGGAAATTCGCTTTGCCATTATCACGGTGGTAGAACTAGTACCTGCTAAAACATTCACTTCTACAGCAAACGCTGAAGAAGCAAGAATCTAGAGTACACAAAACTTCCCGAATTCGCATCTCCCCTCCCTAATACATATGTCCAAATAAACCTGATCACAGGGTTGAGACTGGAGACTATACTGATGCTGAAGATGATGTTTGGTCTGTCCTTTTCCGTTTTCCCTGCACTGGACTGGACTCACTGTCACCAGTTTGGTCATCATGCAGACTTTTCTTGCTCGTCTCTTTTTCTGGAATTTCTGCTCCATCACCATCGGGGGCTTCTAATTTACCGTCTGGAGAATGCTGAACTGCAGTTGACGTTGGATCATTGGCTGAAGTAGAATTGGTAGGAAACTTGGCTTTGTCCTCTCCCATCTTTTGTTTCTCAAACATCATCTGCAGATACCTCCCCTGTTCTTCGATTCTCAGCTGTAAGTTTCGCTGAATCTGGTGGAGTTAAAAAAACCATCAGCACAGGCAGAAAGGAACCAACATTATGTTTAGACTATTTTTTTTCCAGTGGTCCATATGTTCCTGATGTCGACATACAAGCTATAAGCGCTGTGAAAGAATTACCTCGAGTTGTTCATGTAATCGCTTCTGAACTTCCATCTGTAGTCTCAAAGCTTCAGTTATCCCTATGCTCCTGTTTTAAAAAAATAAAAACAATAGAGGTGAGATTACTCAAGTGAAGGAGCGCTACAAGATTACTTAGATGGTGCAGGGATTCGATAAACTTACGTTTTCAAGTCCAGAGATTTCATTTCGTCAATGGAACTCAACTTTTTCTCTGAGTCGTCTGAAGGGAAAAAGGGAATAATAAATTTCAACATTATTTAAATTGAACAGTTCAACAATGTTCTATTCAGAACACAGTAGAAGATAAGGATCAAATGAAGATTAAACATACAAATCTCTGGGTGCGGGACAATAGCTGATACATGGAAACTATGATAAGTGTGATATTAAGAGTTACCTTCAGTACTTGGCTCCGGTTTGTACCTCGCTGTCCTATACTTCTGAAATTAAAAAAAAAATTCACGTCAGTGACCAAAAAAGAACAATTTCCAGTGCTCCAAAAGATAAAAACTGATTATGTTGAGCAAGCTATGAAACCTGCAAGTGGCTTTTGACATGATAAATCGTCAACCCTTCGACATTCATCAACTTCAAGACGCCCTTTGGAGTAGCTCCTGAAAGTTAAACAGCACAAGTCAACACGACCAAGTTACTCAGGTTCTATCGTCATAAAATATAAAATTGTCCTCTCAGGAATGAATACACACTTTCGCTGCCACCAAGCTGATTGACTGCTTCCACAAAAGCCTCATGAAGCTCTGGTGTCCATCTCATTCTGGGTTTGGTTGCTGTTGGTGCAGAGGAAAGTGGGGTGCCAACAGAGATTACTTCTCCACTAACCACAGCTTGCTGCTGATTCACTTGAGGTTGTTCAACTGAGATAGTTGGCACCGAGTTACTAGAAGATTGTGGTGGCGCCTGATACAATAATTTAGCTTTAAGAGAGAAAGTCCTCGTTTATGTTTATGTAACCAACCAGTTCCCAAATAAAGATCGAAGTTCTTCCAATGATCAAACAAGTCAACTTCACTTTTTGTTCACTTCCACAGTAAAAATGCATGTAAACCCAAAATGAGTTTTGCTTCACAGTTGACCATGTCATGCATGGTCTGAGTGAAAAGTAACATTTTCTTTAAGTTTACGAAAACAAACTTAGATCAGGGTGAGAGTAAAAACCTTTTCTTTGTTCTCAGTAGCAGCAACTCCAGTAAGAATTTCATTCCAGTCCGAATTGAGATTATCATCAACCGATATCCACTGATCCGCCCACTGCCAATCTGTTGTTCTCTTCGTAGGATCTTCAGACCCAACTACACATGCAGTCTCCTCCTGACAAGCATTTTGGATAGACACATTCTCGGGGAAATCGAGAAAGTCAGGAATTGAATCCATGGACAACCAAGGATTCGTCTTATTGTTATTATTATTACTCTCTCCAGAGTGGGTACTGCCCAAAGTCGAGGATTGTACTTCAGTATGGGAAGACAGCAACGATGGCAAGCTCTCTCTGCCGCTTGCTGATTGGGAAATGAATGGTGAATTCAGGGAATGCTTTCCCTGGGGCGAAGAAACTGAAGGGGCATACATTTCGCTGGTAACAAATCTGGAAGAAGGCGAGGAGAACAGCTGCTCAACTGTCCCACTACTGGGACCAATTGGAATAGCCTGCTGAGGGAAAGAGTTTCTCATTAGCTCCCTCTCGGAAGGCATCTGGAAAGTGTTCGGCGACTTGGGGTAATTGTCTTCGATGGTAGTATGAAGAACTGGGAACGATGAAGACATAACCACAAGGGTTCCACGCCCAAGTCACTGCAAGAGGTAGCAGCAGAATCTGCTTACTACAAAGGTAAAGTTAAAAAAGCTCGACCAAACAATTGACAACAATATCCTGATTGCTTTGGAGACTCTAACAATACAACATGTAGATAGAGCAAAGTTGCAATTTTTTCAAGCTAATCCGATCATATCAGGGGTTCAGCTCCAGCCACCCACCCACCATGGTCACAAGATTATGAACTCGAACAAGACCCATCTCTCAATCATGAATTGTCCAATTGGATAAATTAAACAGCCGAGACCCAATTCGGAATCGACAATAAGACACTCAAACGACATATGGGCACGCATAAAAATCTGAACTTGAGATTGATAAGACATCTGACCTCGAATTCAGTGGTGAAGGGAAAGAGACAAAGGGCTATCGATCTCTTAGATGCAGAGTACGGCGGCGGCGGAGTGGGGCTCGAATGGTGGTGGCTGGATAAGCAAGCGGAGGGGCTAAAAGCCACACAAGGGAAAGAATATTAATTTGACACGGAGGTACGGATTGAGGGACGGCGGGGGGCGGAGAGGGGAGGAAGGAGGGAAAGACTTTTTTTTTTTTTTTTTTTTTTTGTAGTTTTGGTTTGTTGTGTTGTTGCTGTTTCTCTCTCTTGATGTAAGTGGGGAGAAGTAGGAGAGAGGATGCGTATTTGGCTTTATGTGCCTTTCTCTATCACGCCCAAGGAATTGCTAACGTGCACCTTCTCACATTACGTGTCCGGTTTGCTTAGCCGTTGATTTTGATCTGGGTTACCAATTTCGACGGCGGAGATTGAAGTAGGGATAGTTGAGGGAATATATAAAATACAAAATATTGGGGAAAAGACCTTGCATAGTGAACTTTGGAAAAAAAATTCAAAATTACACTGTTTTTTTTTTTTTTACAAAAGTACCACTCATTCTGAAGAAATTCCAAATCTACCACTGTTTATTAAAAACCGCTCCACACAGCGACAGTTAAAACAGAGGGATCTGGGTTACCAATTTCCTTCGGTGCAATCCATGACAAATGCTCCCAAGCCCAAAATTGGACAATGAACATGGCCTCATCAATCTCCTTCACCGCTCTCGAACTAGCATTACAGAGGGAGCGATAGAGATGAGCTAGGCAGGCAGATGCCCAGCTCAGGTTTCCCATATCATCCCAATCTCCAAATATAATATTCAACCATGAATTGCTTATTAAATTGTTGGATTTTTTTGGGGAAGAAAACTCCTCCGATCATGCCGAGAATGTAGATACGTGCTTAAATTTCTTTATCACGCTCCGAACTTTCCTTTGTGAGGGGAATGCCTCCGACCTCAGGGTTGTGCTTACGCCTGATCTCCGCTGTCAACCAAGTGATGGATACTTGGCCCTTGGACAATGGTGGATTACCATCCGCATCATGATCTCCCTTTTCTAGCGGACACAACCCGGTGACGGTCCATATGAAATGCTGCCAACCACTCCATATTGGCAACAACTTTAGCTGGTGGAGTAGAGTCCACTGTCCACACAAATAACATCGCCATCAACAGCGGCAGATCTAGGACATAAGAGAGCATTGGGCCGTATTTGAATAGAATATTAGATACCATAAACAAAAATATATAATAATATAGTTTTCATTACAACGTCAATTGTACAAGAAGGTCTTTTAATTTAGCAAATTTATCAATAATATAATCTCCATCCATACTGATAATATACTCTTTTTCAAAGAAAATAGCTAAGTAATCAACGAGAAATTCATCGCTCATTTTGTTGCACAAATCAATGTCCATGTTCCATTGCTGAAAATATTCTCTTCATGGTAGTTGTTGAAATGGCTAGGTCAACACTAGACAAATCAACCGACAAATCAATTTGTATTATGTGTCCATCCCTATTCCCTCCAGCTTCTCTAATAATTTTGCAAGAAAAGAAACTTTATTTTCCTCACATGAGTAGTGCATTCTCCAAAGAATGCATCTCATAACCTTCAAAGTCTCGAGGCTAAACTCTTGAGCAAGTTTGTAAATATTTTCTTCATCAAAACACCAAAAAGAACGGTTAGAATCTAGTGCCCCACTCAATTGAGGCAATCTAAATGATGACTCAATAAGTTTGTAAATATTTTATTAATCAGAAGAATGGAAAGAAAACCAGCTCGACGGGCTGGCAGAGAAATCCATTTTGGGTCTGCTCGTCTCCTCGTTCTTGTTTTGTTTTGGGGGGATTGGGAAATTTTTTGAATTTTGCAAGGAAGGGTGTGCTTTAGTTTAGAGTTATTATTAGTTAGTACAAAATTAAACAGCTAATGCAAATTTCACATCTCCCACCATCCACAGCATAGCGCGGCTACTTTTCTAGTTATTATTAGTTAGTTATTAGTTAGTATATATAAACCTAAATCTGGATTACTGTTCACTAAGGTTTCAACTTAAAAATATATATTTATATCAATTGAGCTCTTTATTTGGACCACGGGGAGTGGGTTACTGAGGAGAAGGGGAAAGCGGATATTGCTACAGACTTTTACGGACATCTCTTTACCTCGGAATTCCAAGTCCCTAATATGGCGGATAGAGTGTCATCTCTACCTATTGAAAGCAAGGTCACTCCAGAAATGAATGCGAATTTGACGGCTGAGGTCCTCCCTGAAGAAGTCCGGAGAACTGTTTTTTCCATGGGGTCGAAATAGGCGCAGGGTTCGGATGGGTTTATGGGGAATTTTTTTAAATCCTTCTGGGACATTGTGGGTGACTCGGTAAGTGAGGCGGTCTGCTCCTTCTTCTCGACCAGTCGGATACTCCGGAGCTTTAACCATACTTGGTTAACTTTGATTTCGAAGGTCGATTCGGTGGAGACTATGAAGCAACTACGGCCAATCAGCCTTTTTCCAGTTTGTGTATAAAGTCATAACTAAAATCATGACGGAAAGGCTTGCTTGTCTCCTTCCCCATATAATCTCTGAGGGTCAAAATGCGTTCATCAGGGAACGGCAGATAATTGATAATATCCTCCTCGGACATGAGTTAATGCACTATCTCAAAATCAAAAAGCAAGGTAAGAAAGGATACATGGCTCTGAAGGTTGACATGGAAAAGGCCTATGATAGAGTCGAATGGTCTTTTCTTCTTGCTGTGTTAGAGAAGTTGGGGTTTAACTCTGTCTGGCGAGGGTGGATTCATGAATGTCTTCGATCTTCGTCTTTTTCTGTCCTCATGAATGGTTCTCCGTCAGGTTACTTCACCCCGTCTCGTGGGTTACGACAGGGCGATCCGCTTTCCCCTCTTCTGTTTGTGCTCTGCACAGAGGGGTTTGCGGCTCTACTTCGCAAAGCTATTTCGGAGAAGAAATTCGAGGGGGTTAAAGTGGCGCCCTGTGCCCCTAGAATATCTCACCTCTTCTTTGCGGATGATTCTTATTTATTCCTAAGAGGTACCTTGCTGGAGTGTGAAAATTTGATTGTGGTCTTGAACGAATATGAGGAACTTAGTGGTCAGCGGGTGAATCTGGCCAAATCAGCTGTTTGCTTCAGTAAGAACATTGCGGTGCCAGATCAAGAGTTTTTAGCTACTATTCTAGGGGTGGGTGCGGTTGGGGTCCATGATAAGTACATGGGATTACCAACTTTGATTGCCCGGTCCAAGATGGCTACCTTTCGTTATCTGGAAGAAAAGTTGATAGAACAACTGCAAGGCTGGAAGCAGAGGACATTATCATGGGCTGCTAAGGAAACATTGATCAAATCGGTGGCCTTGGCACTACCTTTGCATGTGATGTCTTGTTTCAAGTTACCTCTGTCGCTATGTCGTCTTTTGGACAGACATGTGGCCCGGTTTTGGTGGGGGGCGGATGATAATCATTCTAAGATCAGGTGGATGTCCTGGCGCAATATGTGCAGAAGTAAGCATGAAGGGGGGATGGGGTTTCGTCGGTTCGAACACTTTAATCAAGCCCTCTTGGCTAAGATTGGATGGCGAATCTTGATGGAACCTCACTCCCTCCTGGCCCAGGTGTATAAAGCTAAATACTTTCCTAGTGGTTCTTTCATCCAAGCCAAGGCTCGCTCACGCCCTTCGTGGGGGTGGTAGAGCATTCTTTTTGGTAGGCAGTTGCTGGAAATGGGTTTGAGTTGGTAAATTGGGAATGGCCGCTCTGCGTCCTTACTTCGATCAACCTGGATACCTCAATACCAGCTAGACCCCCCTAGATATAATCCTCAGATCTTACTAGTTGGGGGTGACCCTCTGGTAGCCGAGCTTATTGTTCCGGGGGAGGGGAGGTGGTGTGATCGTAAACTTAGCCAATGGTTTGACCCCGCTACCTGTCGGGCCATCAAGAAAATCCCTCTCCCTCGACGGGATATGGAGGATAGATTGATCTGGCATGATACAGTTGAGGGGGCTTTTTTGGTGAAGTCGGCTTATCACTTGGCGGTTACCCTGGATAGGAGAAGAGGTGGTTAGAAATCTACGGTGTGTTGGATGGATAAGGATAGCTGGATTCGTCTTTGGGACGCGAATATTCCTCCTAAGCTTAAGGTTTTCGTTTGGCAAATCCTCAATCGAGCCCTTCCCACTACTGAGGCACTAATTGAGAGAAAGGTTCAGGTTCACCCTCGGTGCCTTGTTTGTTTGGGTGCTTCAGAATCTCTGAAACATCTGTTCCTGTATTGCCCGGTGGCTCATGCTCTGTGGGACTACTCGGGCCTGGAGTATATTGGGGAGGGTTTGCCTCGTGAGCATTTTTCGCTTTTCCTTAAGAGGGTGTTGGCTCTGCTTAACCAACCTAGATTGTTCATGGCAGTTGTGGCCATCCTTTGGAGGATCTGGCGGTCTCGTAACTGGGTGGTTTTGGAGGGTAAACAGTTCAGCTTCCTTGCTTTGATGAGGCAGTTTAGCCAACAGTATGAAGAGTGGGTTAGTTTGCCTCCCGGTACTGGTCCTCAGGTGGTGGGGAGGACCATGGGTCTGCCTGGGTCTGTGGGAGTTGCTGGTATGGTATGTATGTGGGATGGTGCTACCAGGAGAGGGTCTCATTCGGCAGGCGGTTTGGTTATTCTAACCCCTGCAAGAGAGGTCCTCTTGGCTAAGGGGGTCCAGTTCCAGTTGATTGATGAACCTATGGTAGTGGAACTGCTGGTGCTCCGAGAGGCGATTTTTTGGTGTCTGAATCTGGGATTTACGGAGATAACCTTTGAAGGCGACGCGAAAGTAATTATTGATAAAATCAACCAGACGAACGTCAGGGATAATCGGATGGGTGCAGGTCTTCAGGAAGTTGTTCATTATTTTGGTTCCCATCCTGGTTTTAGTGTTCGATTTGTAGGTCGTGAATACAATAGGGTAGCCCATTTGGTGGCTAGAAAGGCCCTGTCTTTGTATCCGACGATGAGTCGTG